ACTAATGCTACAGACTGGATTTGAGTTGAACTACGACAGAACTGGAAGTTTAGCAAAGAACCTTCTAGAATGAGACAATATACAAATCTTTTAGGTCCTTCAGATTTAATGTAAGCTTTACCTAGACCCTTATATAATTCCCAGGTTTACAGACTAGTAAAGAAAAACAAACAAAGAAGGCTTTTGTTGTAAATACTTTCCCACATATAATTTCATGGACAAAATCCATTTAAAAAAACTTGAAAGGAATTAATCAGTAAGAGTCTGATTTTTTTTTTTCTCAAAAACAAATGAGTTGGGCTTCAAGAGTGTATATTTGAAATAAGTATTCAGGCTGAGAAATCTGCCTTCTCCTTTCTTGGGGTATTGACGTGAGTTCCATGATTACGATGCTTTGTACTTCGTGTTACTCTTAAATATTTACGCAGCCATTCTTTTGTTCATCCAACAAATATTTGCTGAGTACATAAGTACAGTATACCTTGGGAGGAGAGATAAGCTCTATTTAAACAGCTGTAGCAATGGTGGTACACGGTTTGGGGAGAATGCAAAAGAAGGTGAGACTGTTTGCAGCTGGGGAGAGCCAAAAAGGCTTCTTGGGTTGGGATTGCCATCCAGGCTTGAAGGGTCTGAATTTGGCTGGCAGGGCATTTAGGGGGAGATGGAGGGAGGGAGGCATCGGCACGTACAGGGCACAGGAGGTATAGTTGCCGTAGGAGAGGTAGGCAATAAGGGCAGTGGGGGCCAGAGCACAGGGCCTTTGGTGCTAGGTTAAGTGGTTACTACTCTGGGGAGTAGCAGTGGGGAACTGCTGAAGGTTTTTACAAGGGTGGTAGTGGCATGGTCTTGAAGCAGTGTGTCAAATGAAACTTGTCAGACCAGGACACAGAGGATTGTGCCTCTGTGACTTGAGGTGTGCCTCTCACGGCTTTCAAAAGAGTTCCCTGGGAGCATTAATGGCCAGACTTGGTTCTGAAGGACAGTTCCCCGCTGTAACCTCTGGGCCTCTCCCGTTCTGCTCTATCAGCCCTGGACTCACCCTGTCCACTTCCCAGAACCTGCCTCTGCCACATAGGCCATGCGGTGGCTTGATTCCCATAATCCTCCAGGATCTGTGTAACAGGATGGCACTCCCGCCTCCTACTCTGGTTTTGACGTTTTTGTTTCTCTACGAGAGCTGAAAGCTAGTAAGTTTTTTTGGGCTCCGCTGTGATGCTGACATAGGGCAGAGGAAGAGACTTTTGCAATGTTAAAAAGTGATAAAGATTGGTTCAAGGTGTGGGGAGATGGGGGGGAAAGGAGGGATGAATTCAAGAAATCTTGCGCAAAGAGAAGTGACAAGATCTGATGGTTGACGATGAGTGTGAGGGAGAAGGAATCAAATAACAGTGCTGAGCTTTTGAAACTCTGTGAATTGAAATGGTTCTGAAAGGACCAGAAGACACTTTTCTTACTTTTACAAAGTTGAACTGGAGAAAAATGTTGTGGACAGAGCTGTTGAAGAGGCATTTTTTTTTTAAAGCTTTAGTGGTGATTATCCTGAAGGGTATAATGAGTAGGCTGGTGAAGTAAATTGTACCAGCACAATGCCCAGCACAGGCTGCTATAATTGAGTAGAATTAGAAGAAATATTTACCAAAAATGCTGGTACAACAAAATGTGAAAGTAGTCTTTCCATTGGTTCTAGTCTTTATGTTATTGAGTAACTACCTTTTAGTGGAAGATCTGGCTCTGTGTTTTACAAACAAATTCAGAAAGAAAATAGGATACTAAATTGGGGAGTCGGGTGGGGAAGGAAGGCATTTCAAAACCCCAGAGTCTTGAAAACTGAAAACACGCTGGTTCCAGCGCAAGTTCTTGTATGTGGTGCCTGTGGGCTGATGGACTTCATTTGAATGCTTTCACGGTGGGAGAGTAAATGATAGTAATAACAGTCAAAATTTATTGAGCAACTAAAGTGTCAGGCACCACTCTAGAAACTCTTTTATCTGAAGACCGTCTCATTTAATCCAGATGAAATCCTGTGAAAATGGGTGTCTTATTCTCCCCATTTTATAGGTAGAGAAACTTGAGGCTCAGAGAGAGAGGCTCCATGTAATACAGCTACTAACTCATGCTTTTGCTTTGGCTCGTTAATGCTAATGTTTCATTCAGTTGGCTTCAATTCGGGGATGCACTGAGGACCTCAGATGTGCTGATAAGTCTGAAGCATCTCTGAAAACGTAGGTTATGTTTGATGGCCCCAGTTGAAGGGTTACACAGACGACCTGCTTTTGGCTTCTCCTTGACTTCTTAGTTCAGCTTACGGACATTGCCTTGGTAGTTGGCTTGGGGGCACCATTATCACCATTGTCATCGGTTTAATTACTATGGGTTAGTGAACCATTTCTATGTGCCGATGCCAGTGCTGAGCACTTTACTGCGTTATTTCATGTAATTACCACAACAATAGATTGCTCCTCTTCGTTTTATACAAGAGGATGCTAGTGAGAGGCCACTGCTGCTAAGGAGCAGAGATGGGACTCAAACCCATGTCTTTCTGACTCCAGAGTCCATGGTCCTGACCAAAGTGGCATTTTGCCCCAGCAATAGGCTTTTCTCAAAGTGTCACGATCCCCAAATTGGACTTTCCTTCATTGGGGCTTAGTTAGGCTTACTATAAAATCTAGATGCATTTCGGGGATTGCTGTAGGTTCTCTTTCCCCCGTAACTTGTGATGTTCTTAGCTACATTATTCACATTTTGAACCAGTCGTTAGGTTAATTACCTAAGGAAGCTGGGATCCCCCTTTTTTTATAAGTGTTGCCTAGTGGGTGATGCATTGATGGTACCGGATGCAATATTCAAATCACAGAAACATTCTTCTCATACATCGGGAGGGAGTGGTGGCATCATAGTGCCTCAGTGGAGACCGGTCCTTGAAGGGAGGCTTGGTGGTGTGGCAGGAAATCAGCTTTCAAAGCTTTGTAGAGCTCACATAAAACGACATCCATCTCCTTTCATTTAAATCCAAATTCTTGCCAGAGTGCAAAAATTAGCATCAGAAATTAGCAGGCTGCTCTTCTGCTAGACAAAATAGTGGTTATTTGGATCTAAAGGGCACATTTTGTTAATCGTTTATATGTTTCAGTGAGGTGAGACTCATTCTCGTTGTGGGAATTCTCAAAGAGGTCTCACTCCTATGTAAGAAAATTATAGACAAGGGTATTGAATTTTATTTCTTATGCACTATATAAAAGTTAATGAAAATAATAACCAATTAGACAGTTATAAAGCCTGAGTGTATTAAAGTGTTATGCAAATATTGATTAATAGTAATACCATAAACTCACAGAGCAAGCAAAAGCATGCCTGGTTTAAATTATAGGAGCTTTCATTTGCATTTCCACCAAAGCTATTATTAGTGGGTCTCAAAGCACCTTACAAGTAATAATTATTAAAGCCCATAAATACAGCCAGGAAATGCATTTTATTGAGGGAATAAGTAAGAGGTCCCCTTTACCTCATACATATTATGAGACCTAAATGCCTGAGCTAAAATAGACTTGTCCATATAAAGAGAATATTCCTACACTGTGGGTGTTTGGGGCTGTGATTTATAGGTTAGAAGTTGACAGTCACAGATTCAAGGTTCTTGTATTGAGTATCTCAACCCATGTGAATTCCCATTGTTAAAATTTTACGTGTACAATAACTCAAAACAAATCTTGTCAGTATGTTATATTTTAATATTTCTCTATTGACTATAATATCAAATTGGAAAACAAAAGTTATGCCAAGTTCACTTGAAAGTATTTAAAAATACTTTGGAATGTTGTATCAGGTTTATTTTTTCTCAGGCTAATACCTTATTCCAAGGCCTAACAGCTTTTAGGCACAGTTAATAGGACCTGTATTGATTTCCATACCCTATAGCAAGTCTCTGAAAAGTTATGGAGATTTCTAATCTATTTTAAAATACTCCTTTGCCCTTTCTCTCTTATTTCTCTTCTTTTTTCCTTCCTTTGCAACTACCCTACTCTCTAAAGCTAAGCACAGGCTGGGAAAGCTCATGACTATTCCCAGTGCCTGGCTCTCCCTCTATCTTGGGTCTTTGAGCTGCCCCCACATGGTTGGTTCTCAGTCTTATTTCTTCTGGTGCCGAGAGACCGTATTGCAGTGGTTGGTCACTATTGTGAGGCAGCTGTACTTCCATGGTTATACTTCAGTGTCACGTAGATTCCAAGAACAGTGTGGACTAGTGGACACCTTCCTTTAGAGTTGGGGACAGACACTGGAACCCAGAAAGAATGAGTGACCTGACTGAGGTTATACAGCTGCTTTCTGTCTCGGTAGAACTAGGACCAGAACTCAGGTTTCTAGACTCCTAAAGGTTTCCCCTCTACCTTTACATGACAGTAATTATATGATGCTTTGAAACACACACACACACACACACACACACACACACACACACAATTTTAACCAGAACACAGGACTAGAAGTAGAAGAAATAGTTTGTTGGTGTTTTATCCAGGGCTATGGATCAGCAAGACAAGGGCTGGAGCCTCCGGCATCTGAAGACAAATGAGTGATGAGCGTGCAGAGCTGAAATGGTGGGATTATTGCTGTGCAGGAGTTGATCGATGCGGGTAGAGGGAAATGAAGAGCCAGTTGAAATGAGAACAGGGTGAGGTAGGATGGTAGTCATTGAGGATTGGGAGGATGTTGAGTTTATGGCCATGGCAATGGGTTGTTGATGTCAAATGAAGAAAAATTCTATTGGTTACTGGATGGATGGTCCTTAAGGACAGCAGAGTCTCTCAGGATGACCTCAGAAGGGGAGGGAGAGATAAAGGCATGCGCAGCATGTATCAAGATTCTCAGTGCATGTGGAGTAATTCATTTCTGGGAAATGGTGGTGTTAGGGAGACTGGAGGAGGGTATATGAATTATATAGATGTGTGTCTATTCTGTGAGAGATGCTACATGTCTAAATTATAATATTCATGTTTTTCCAGGGAAAACTGAGGCTGCAATCAAAAACTTCAGCCCCTTTTACAGTCGCCAGTACTCTGTGGCCTTCTGCAATCATGTGCGCAGTGAAGTAGAACAACAAAGAGATTTAACATCACAATTTTTGAAGACCAAGGTAGCCCATGACTGTTTGGCTTTATATCTTTCTCCCACTGAGTAATGCTTTATAATTCACTAGGGGCCCGGTGCACAAATTCGTGCACCAGTGGGGTCCCTCAGCGTTTTTGAAGACCAAGGTAGCCCATGACCGTTTGGCTTTATATCTTTCTCCCACTGAGTAATGCTTTATAATTCACTAGGGGCCCGGTGCACAAATTCGTGCACCAGTGGGGTCCCTCAGCCTAGCCTGTGGAATTGGACCAAAACTGGCTCTCCAACATCCTCCAAGGGGTCCTGGATTGCAAGAGGGCACAGGCCAGGCCGAGGGACCCCACTGTTGCACAATCGGGGCCGGGGAGGGATGCAGGAGGTTGGTCAGTGGGGATGGACCACGGGAGGGCTCCAGGACATGTCCAGCCCATCTCGCTCAGTCCCAATTGGCTGGACCCCGGCAGCAAGCTAACCTACCCCCTGGTGGTCAGTGCACATCATAGCGAGTGGTTAAACGGCCTTAGCATATCATTAGCATTCTTATTATGCTTTGATTGGTTGAACTGATGACCAGATGACCAGACACTTAACATATTAGGCTTTTATTATATAGGATAATATATCTGAAAGAAGCATTCATCTGAATGTCAATTTTTTTTAAAAATGTGTTCTCAGATCATTTCATGCTCAAAAAAGTCTTATTTACATGGAAGTTAGAGAACATATGTGGTATAATCCATATTAAGAAAACTAGCGTGATCCAGTTTTATTATGTTTTCCTCACATTGATATCAGCCAATTTGACTTGCTGTAGTGCAATTTTTTAAAAAATGTGTTCTCAGATCATTTTGAGCATTTTCATGCTCAAAAAAGTCTTATTTACCTGGAAGTTAGAACATATGTGGTGTAATCCATATTAAGAAAACTAGCGTGATCCAGTTTTATTATGTTTTCCTCACATTGATATCAGCCAATTTGACTTGCTGTAGTGAAGTTCAGTTTACAAAGTCATAATTTTAGTACCTCATACTACTGTCATTTTTATTTTGGTCATTGATCAAATATGATTTCCTCTTCTAATCCCCTAACTTATTCTTTCTCCTTTGCTCTATTATAATAATTATTCACGACTTCAACCAATAATGATTGACACCTACTATGTGCCAGGCCCTATGCCAAGAACTGGGGAACCAGACAAATTCTCTGCTCCCTGTTTATATTCAAATGTAGGAGACGGACAATAAATAAATGAATATCAGGTGATAATAAATGCTACAAAGAAAAATAGAGCAGGAGTCCTCTTTTAGAGTAGATGGTCAGAGAACCCCTCTGTGGAGGTGACATTTGAGCAGAAACTGGAGTGAAATAAATGTAGGCTGTGTGCCTATCTGTGGGAAGATTGGTCCAGGCAGATGGCACAGCAAGTACAGAAACCGTGAGGTAGCCACAAGTGCATTGGGAAGGCTGGTGTGCTGAGAGCTGTGTAAACAAGGGAGGAGGGACGAGAAATGACTATGGAGTGACAGGTAGGAACTAGACCACGTGGGACCTGTAGACTACAATCGGGTGTTTATTTTAAGTGTTATTTGTGAGGACGGAACATTAAGCCCTGGGATTTGGAGGGAATTTATTTCATCCCTGAAAAAGATGAGCAGTTCTATCCTCTCTGGGTGGTTCCTGTAAATGTTGCTTGAAAGTGGAGGAACGAGTTTCTAAAGGCAGTATGATCTTTAATAAAGGGAAAGTAGATGTAAATTCACGTAAAAGACAGAAGATCCATTTCCATATTTTGAGATAAATCAGGAATTGCACTGTGAGGCAGGATGGGAATGGTTCCTTCCACGAGTAGCCCTGTGGGAGAAGTAGCTGGAAATCTTACAGAGACTCTTCTACAGCATCTATGCCACCAGTTAATGAAAAAAAAATCCTCAAACTTTGAAGTAGAGGCAGAACTGGGCTGTGCTGGATTGCCTGCTATTCTTTGATCAGAGAGCCAACAGGGTCTCCTTGAGAACAGGCTCAATGTTTACACCCTGGCTCCCAGGGCTTTGGGGCCTGGGAAAACCAGTGAGCCTGACATTTTTAAAAAATATATATATTTTTATTGATTTCAGAGAAGAAGGGAGAGGGAGGGAGGGAGGGAGGGAAGGAGAGAGAGAGAGAGAGACAGAAAGAAAGAGAGAGAGAGAAACATCAATGATGAGAAAGAATCATTGATCAGCTGCTTCCCTCACACCCCCTCACCAGGGACTGATCCTGCAACCTGGGGATGTGCCCTTGACTGGAATCGAACCCAGGACTCTTCAGTCCACAGGCTGATGCTCTATCCACTGAGCCAAGCCAAGGCCATTGAGTCTGACTTTTTTAAAAAAAATATATTTTATTGAACCTTTACAGAGAGGAAGGGAGAGAGATAGAGAGCCAGAAACATTGATGAGAGAGAAACATCGATCAGCCGCCTCCTGCACATCCCCTACTGGGGATGTGCCCGCAACCCAGGTACATGCCCTTGACTGGAATCGAACCTGTGACCTTTCAGTCCGCAGGCCGACACTCTATCCACTGAGCCAAACCGGTCTCGGCGAGTCTGACTTTTGAGGCTGCCTGAAGCTGTGAGGAATAGGGGAACAGCCTGTTAATTTTCCTGTTTCTCAGAACTTAAACTGAGGCATATTCCTGGTGTTGGTATAGATGTCTACAACTTAACTGCTTCCCTCCCTCTCTTCCACAGAGTTTATCAAGGATTTATTAAGTGCCACGTATATGCCAGGCATAGCTTTGTCTCTGCGGCACCATGGAGGGAAATGAAAGCCACAAAAATATCAACAAGACAAATATTTGCATCTGATCAGGAGGGTGGGAAAGGGAAGTGTGGAGGGAGGGGAAGAAGCAACCATTTCTCTAGGATGTCAGTTTCCTGAAATATTCCTTGAAATGCCAGGGACAGACTTAGTGGTAGCACGGTATGTTATCTTTTGTGGCCATCACTAATTGTATTCATCTTCTTTAAGCCACCATTGGATCCGGGGACCGTTTTGTATGAAGCAGAACTATGCCAGTTTGCCGAAGATATAAAGAAGTGGAAGGAGAGATATGTGGTGGTTAAAAATGATTTTGCTGTGGAGAGCTATGAGAACAAAGAGGTAAGATATTTCCTTGTTACCCCTGGCTTCTCCCAATACTCTTAAAGATTGGGTGTGCTGGTTGTCTTCTTCAGGATTGGTTCTTTCAATCAGCACTCACTCTCTAGTCTAGCAGGCACTCATTTCAGTTAATAGATGTTTACTGAGCGCCTATTACTGGCATATGCCGCATATCAGGAAAGGTCTGAGCATATTGCAGACAGATGTTTGCAGTCTAGTGGGCAAGACAGACTTTGAACAACTCATTGCAAGTGAGTGCGAAACAGGTTATGCCTCGTGACCAGTGCAGGAGCCTTTCCTATGACCATTCAGCTTCAAGGTCTTTCTCAGTCACTGGCCCACTGCCCCTCCCTTTACTCTGTGTCTCCCTACACATTATTCATTCGTTTGTTCATTCATTCATTCATTCATTCATTCATTCATTTTAATCCTCACCTGAGGATATGTTTTTCATTGATTCTAGATTGAGAGGAAGGGAGGGAGAGAGAGACAGAAACACCCAGGTGAGAGAGAAATATCTATGGGTTGCCACCCATATGTGTCCTGATGAGTTGGAACTGCAACCTGGGTTTGTGCCCTGACTGAGAATTAAATCCACAACCCTTAGGTTCACAGGATAATGCTCTAACCAACTGAGTCACACTGGTTGGGCCTCCCCATTCTTAAGCCTCCTACATGTCAGGTGGCTGAGATGTTATTGAATAAGGTTATGATTGAGCCCTGGCTGGGTGGCTCAGTTGGTTGGGGTGTTGTTCCTTACACCAAAAGGTTGCAGGTTTGATTCCCAGTCAGGGCACATACCTAGGTTTCGAGTTCAATCTTGGTCAGGGTGCATAAAGGAGGCAACCGATCAAAGTGTCTCTCTCTCTCTCTCTCGTGAGAGATGCTACATGTCTAAATTCCAATATTCATGTTTTTCCAGGGAAAACTGAGGCTGCAATCAAAAACTTCAGCCCCTTTTACAGTCGCCAGTACTCTGTGGCCTTCTGCAATCATGTGCGCAGTGAAGTAGAACAACAAAGAGATTTAACATCACATAAAATTAATAAACATCCTAGGGTGAGGATAAAAAAAGATTGTGATTGAATTTGCATGAGTTCCTAGGAATTCAGAGCATTTCACATACTTACTCCACCTGTATTTATGGATTTTTTTCTTTAAACTTGTTCCTGGTTATCTCATTATTTTTCTTGTCTGTGAAATGTGGGGGGAAATAAGATTATGAACATAAGTAAAGTGCCTAGCAGCCAGGAGGGCTTCAGTTTTTATTGGTCCCCATTCCTTTCCCCATGGAAAGTATAGTGGCATAGAAGAAAGAACACTGGACCATGAATCAGGAAAACTAAAGTTTAGCCTGGGCTTCCATTAAACTGGAGAATTAGGCTGACTGATCCCAACAGTTCCTTTCAGATCTCCTACTATACACATTTTAAATCTACACGGAATCTCAAGCTGTCTTTGAAATGAATAGTTATTATTTTTCAGTTAGTAGTAACAGATTTAAAACTTTGCTCTCTTGCCTTAGCCAGTTTGGCTCAGTGGATAGAGTGTCAGCCTGTGGACCTAAGAGTCCCAGGTTCAATTCCAGTCAGGGGCACATGCCCAGCTTGTGGGCTCGATCCCAAGTAGGGGGCATGCAGGAGATAGCCGATTAATGGTTCTCTCTCATCATTGATGTTTCTATCTCTCTCTCACTCTCCCTTCCTCTCTAAAAGGAATAAAATTATTTTTTTAAAAACAACCAAAAAATCCCACTTTGCTCTCTTGACACTAAACCGATAAAAGGAGACTTCAGGCAGCAGACCAGTGTGTTTCCTTCCTTCCCATTTCTGATGGAAAATAGAAATAAAGTACAATACAAACTTATTCCACAGGCCATCAGGCAATGCTGCCTTGAGTAGTCTTATTCTTTGCAACATTCATTAAGCTAATGTTTTCTCGACTTACCTATATTAGGATTTTATTCAACACTTGATTTGCTCTTTGTAGCAAATTATTAATACACTACAAATAATAATGATAATAAGTCACCTTTATTTTTAAAAAATATGTTTTTATTGATTTTAGAGAGAGAGGAAGAGAAGGGGATAGAGAGATAGAAACATTGATAAGAGAGAAACACCATCAGTCGTAGCCTCCTGCACACCCTCTACTGGGGATCGAGCCCATAACCAGGAATCAAGGTGGTGACCTCTTAGTTCATGGGTTGACGCTCAAGTCACCTTTATTTTGTATGACATGGTACAATGTCCACTCAGGGAAGCTTGAGAAGAGGTAGTATTGCAGAATGGTTAATACTGTGGACTTTGAACCACACCTTTATCAATTATTGATGTGTCCTTTCCTAAGTCATAAATCTCTTTGAGCCTCACCTTTCTCATCTGTGAAATGGTGAGCATGCGCCTTTCCTCATGATGTTGCTATGAGGATTAAACAGATGAGTGTATTGAAGCCCTCAGCACATGGCCAAGCACTGGCAGAGCCCAATGTATAGCAGTTGTCAGTATGATTACTACTAAATAATTGGGAGGAAACACTCACAGAGCTTCCTCTTATATTTATTATGGTTTTAACCATATTTGGCACTAATTGAAGTTTCATTTTGAATCAAAACTGGTGTTTTTCCTCTTTTTAGTTTTTTAAAGCTTTCTCCCTCAACTTTCAATGTATTTGCTCATTATTTTCAAGTGAAACTGGATTTTTCAGATACGGTTACTGAATTAGATAATAATAAAGTATTAAAAACTATTTTGCTCATCATTTTCAAATGGTCCAGTTTGGACTTTTAAGATATGTATTTTAAAGATATGATTACTGAATTTGGTAATAAGCAAGTGTTAAAAACTTGGAAATTTAAAAAATGGCATGTAGTTTGCCATAATTCCTCCAAGTTTTAATATTTCTTTTATTTAGAGAAGAGTGTTTTTAAAAATTACACCCAAGAGTTATACATTAAGTACCTATAAATTGCCTATTATTTTACGGGGTGGTTCGGTTTTGGATGGTAATTAAGTAGGAAAAAATGAAACATTCCCATTGGATAATCATTTAATTTGTACTTCCTGTACGGTTGCACTGGGCTAGACAGACTCAAGTATGAGTCCTGGGTTTGTCACCTACTCACTGATGGGCCATTGGTAGGTTATTTAACCCATTTTCTCATTTATAAAAGGGAGATAATAACTAATTCATAGTGCTGTTTTTAGGATTAAAGGATGCAGTGCTCATAAAAGCCCAGATTGGGGCCTGTTATAACAAATAACATAATTTAGGTTTAACACGATGTAGCAGTCTCAATCAAACTGCTTCTGAACTTTTTCAAAACCACACAACTTTCAATTCTTATCTGTTAGGCTCTGCACGATTAGTGGATTTCACAACTATGAAAACAACCTTCTTAGATACGAGAGTTTGTTTTGTTTGGGTCTCTTCAGTCACTACCTTATTGAGGGAGAATGTGTTCTTCTTATCCTGATCACGTTGCCCCAATCAATTATTTTTAGTTATTCCCAAGAGTACAGGCTACATTTGGGTCCCACAGTGGCTTGGTTTCCATTCTCAACTTGCTTTCAGCCTGTTATTTTCAACATTTTGCCTTGACTTAATCCCTGCCATCAGACGCACACACTTAAATTTTATCTTATCTGTACGTCCTCTCGGGCTTATCTGCTTAACAAATACTTTAGTGCCTTAGCAATGCTCACACCTCTTTTACATTTCCCCAACAGCAGAGCTGTTTGTCTGCTGGCCAGAATTTGTTCTGATGTCATGACCTTGCTATTCCATCCCAGATCATTTGACTGCAAAACAGTCTCATGCCTGCCCGGCCAGTGTGGCTCAGTGGCTGAGCATAGACCCATGAACCACAAAGTCAGGGTTTGATTCTGGGTCTGGGCGTATGCCTGGGTGGCAAGCTCAATCCCCACTAGGAGGTGTGCAGAAGGCAGTCCATCAATGATTCTCTCTCATCATTGATGTTTCTTTCTTTCCCTCTCCCTTCCTCTATCTGATATCAATAAAAATATATAAAACAAGCAAACAACAACAACAACCTCCCCCCCCCCCCAAAACCAGTTTCATGGCAGAGGGCAAAGTGGTGGCATATTTATCACAGCAACGTTTTTATGTTTTTGGTGACAATCCATGGCAACCATGACTGTAGTTACCTGTCCCACAGTCTCATTAGTCATCGGTCTGCACATGTTGTGTCGTGAATGTCTGTCTGCATCATCATCCTTGTGGTTATTAGAATGAGTCAGGTGCCGGGGCGCAGGAAGTTACTAAGATGATGCTTTCCTCAGTGAATCTCCCTGAGGTTAGGGACTCTGACTTCCCATGTTGTGAACATCACACAAAAGTACTAGAGTAAGACCTCGCAAGTAGCAGTTACACAAAACCTATTTTTTAAATAAATGGCTCTTACTCAATGACATAGTGTGGGAATTGCTTATCTCTGAGTGCCTGTGTCTGTCTGTCTATTTCTAATATTCTGTATATTTTTCAAAAAAATCCAAAAGGGGGAAAATAGTCATTCCTTTATGCCTTTCCTTTCCCAGGCCTATCAGAGAGGAGCTGCTCCAAAAAGCCGAATCCTTCCAGCTGGTGGCAAAGTGTTAACCTCCGAAGAGGAATATAATCTATTATCTGACAGGCATTTCCCAGACCCTCTTGGTGAGTAGCTGAGCATTCTTTCCCAAGGCAAATTCTTAGACTTGCTCTGCTTGGGGAGACCAGCCGCTCTCAACCGGGGTGGGGTGGGGGAGCATTTCACTCTCCAGGGACGTTCGGCAGCGTCTGGAGACATTTTTGGTTCTCACAGCTTGGGAGGATGGCGCTGCAGGCATTTAGTGGGTAGAGGCCCGTGATTCTGTCAAACCTACTGCAATGCACAGAACAGTCTGACAATGAAGAATTACCTGGCACACAATATGGATAGTTGCTGAAGTTGAGGGCCTCTGGGTCAGACACATGCACACCACAGTCACATGGGAGATGTGATTTCGCTAATTTAGGTAAACATTGTACCACTTCTCTTATTTTAAAGCACATTCAGTAATACACACCTCAGTTGCTACGTTTCTAGTGCTTCAAAAATGGGCCACTGGTTAGACATCTGGAGGTTTGGGGAATATATTGGTGGCTTTCATAGCTCCACAGGACAGCAGAAATAAAGAGACAGGGCCCCATCTTTGAAAGGTACAACCTCATCTTTCAGTGAGCATGTCAGGGAATATTATTTTTTCTAATGTTAGGAAGATGTGCATAGAGTATCCTCAATCGACAAAATGTTTTTAACAAGCGTTACAGTAACTCACAGCTAGGGTGTAAAAAAGCATGGAATTAATTAGCATATTTATAAATAATAGCTGGATGCTGCCATGGAAAGAGCATGGAACTGAGACTTGGAAGACTGGGTGTTTATCTAGTTCTAACTGTGCCATTTAACAGGTGTTCCCCTAGTGTTACTAAACCTCTCTGATTATTGTTCCTCCAACTCCAGGGCCTTGAACTTGAAAATCTAGAAGGATCTCTCCATCTCTAATATACAGTGGGGCCTTGACTTACGAGTGTCCCGACTAACGAGTTTTTTGAGATACCAGCTGTCTCTGGGCCGATTTTTTGCATTGAGTTGACAGAGTAATTTGAGTTAATGAGCTCCTTAACGAGCTCGGTCTTGAAACTAATCAAACTTGTAAGTCAAGGCACCACTGTACTTGGGTTTTCATTCATTCTATGTTTTCCATGTAGAGAAAGTGATGGATAATATGCCTATATAAGCCAAGTAGTGCACTGCATAGAGATTCATGAACTGTGGATAATGTAATAATCCCATCTGGCTTTGTGTAAATCATGCTCCACAGTAATTACTTGGTTTCTTGAAGAGAGCGCTGGTTCTTATTAATGGTTATAATCATTTTATTAGAATTTATGGAGAAAATATAGTTAGTTTTTCCATTGTTCTTTTGGTGAGGAATGCTTAGCATCGTGTTTTTAGTAACACTATTATTAGATTAGTACATGGACCATAAACCTAGATTAAACAAACTATTATTAAGTAATTCAGGCTAAAACAACACTTTATGTGCACTATACATATTATTATATTTTCTTTCAACATCTACCTATATGTCACCGTGGCTCTGGAAATGGGAATATCAACATGCTGACCCTTAAGAATCTCTCCAAAAGGACTTTCCAATGAAATCATTCAGAACACACAATATACTTATTGATTTATTGTTAATATCATATCGGAAGGAATGAAAAGGAATAAAAAACACAAGTCCTGTGTGACTAATGCCATTTTGTTCAGGGCTTCGGATTGGGGCATTTCAATGACTTTTTTTTTTCATTATATCTGTGGCCTTCTGAGTTTTAAAAATAGAACATTCTACAGTAGATTGTTTGTGATATCCTTGTGACTCAACTCAGAAAAAAATTCAGACTAATGGCATCTGGAAAATTTCTGTAAAAGGTTAAATGAGAGGTAGCTAGAGACTAACAGGATCTGAGCGGGGTGGCTTTACATAAGTCTCTGGGAATTGATTTTGAGGGAAGAGGTAAAAGTCCCCATTGTTTAAGGCTTTTAAAATGTCCTGGGACGATGTAGCACATTTATTCATTCAACAAACTATAGTTCAGCATCTACTAAGTTCCATGACTGTGCCATGTGCTGAGGATACAAAGATATGTCGGATGCAGTCTCCATCTTCTGGGGGCCCTAGGGCAGTGGTGTAGCTTCCCGGGGAGAATCAGTGAGGGAGCTTTTCTGAAACGGTGCCACTCACCCTGAGTGTGGGTGCCAGACATCGGAACAGATCATTACAATCTTTTGGGAGAACAAGGTAGGGAGCACCCACGTCTGTCTGGTGGCAGAGGGGGGTGTCAACAAAGGCACCCCAGGGCAGGGGGCTGTTGAATGGACTTTTGAAGGATGAATGAGCATTTTCCGTGGAAAATCATGATGGAAGGGAAGGGGGAACGTTACTATGAACTGCAGAAGTGATATGCAAAGTCGTGGAGTCAGTGACCACACCTGGGGAGAGTGGAGATGGAGAGTGGAAACCAGTACAGAACAAGGAACGAGCGCCAACACGTAACTGGGGGCTGGAGAGAAGGTGCAGAGGAACCGGAAAAGGTGACAAAGAAGGAGCAGTTTTTAAAAAGCAGGAAGGACACCAGGAGAGGCGAGCTCCTGGAAGTCATGGGAGGAGAATGTTTCCAGAAGAAGGTATGGTTAGCAGCAACAGACGTTTCAGATCATGTTCAAGGGATAGATAATAAAGAAGGAGCCGCAGCCTGGCCGTGAGGGGGACGTTAGTGACCTCAGCGATTTGGTTTCTGGGCTGGAGCGGCAGGAACCAGACTGAGGTGAGAACAGGGGTTGATGGCCGGAAGACAACAAGTGACAGGGAGGAGGTAGAGAGTGCAGGGCCCAGAGCAGACCTGGTGACCGGGGGCCTGGGAGAGAGAAGGGGGGCGGTCTGCACAGCTGGACAGAGTGGCGTGCAGAGGACCACTAGGGAAGAGGGAGCTCTGTTGGTGCATTTCGTTGATGTGAGGAAGTTGGGAAAGATAGTGTCAGATGGCCTTTCTTGTCCCTGTGGGGTAGGAGGTGAGGCCACCTGCTGGTGTGACAGGTGAAGCTGGTGGAGAGATGTGGGAGGAGCCTGGATTCTCAGTCTCCTCCCCTAGACATCTCTCACCACCTTTCCATCCCGTGGCCTGCCCTAGAGAGTTCCCTTCACAGACTGGAATAAGTATTTGAAATAACAGATGCACAGTACAAACCATGTTTGTGTTTTCAATATTTCCGTAGCATCCAGTGAGAAGGAGAGCACCCCGCCCTTTGTGGTCCTGCCGAAGGATTTCCCCGTGTACCTGTGGCAGCCATTCCTCAGGCACGGCTACTTCTGCTTCCAGGAGGCCGCTGAGCAGAAGAAGTTCCACGCTCTCCTGAGCGACTGCATCCGGCATCTGAACCAGGGTACGCACCCCTGCCCTCTTGTCCCCAAGCTAAGCAAGAGTCTTGCACTCAGGCAGTGAGGCCAACGTGCTGGCTGCTGAGCCCGGCCCAGAGGCCTCGGTGGGACAGAATGTGGAGCAGGTATCTGATGGCACCTGCAGGCACGCATTTGAGGCGCCTTCTTCGCACATGTAATTTTGCATTTGATTCATCCTCCTCCTTTTCCCTGATTATTAAAAGTCTAAATGACAGCAAGAACATGTCACTTGTCCCTGGCAAAATCCTAGTCCTTATGATACTTATTGCTCATTCCCTTCTTTATTTTCGAATACTAGTTACTCAAACCTTTAAGATGCCTAAGAATCACCTAGAGCAGCGGTCGCCAACCTTCGGACCTCACGGGCCACCAGTGGTCCGCGGATCACCGGTTGGCGACCACTGACCTAGAGAACTTAAATGCAGATTTGGGGGCTCCATTCTCAGCTATTCGGATGGACTGGGTCTGTTGCAGGCCCTACATTTTGTTCTTCTGACAAACTGCCAGGGCTGGTGGTACCGCAGGTTCATGGACCACACCTGTAGCAGTGTAGCTTCAGGCCACTGTGCTCAAGGTATGGATGTAATGTATGTCTAGAATAAAGACTTTTCGCTCTAATATGTCACGCTTTTGCTGAATGGATGTGAAAGCTGGTTTTCTGGACTCCGTGAAGCCTCCAGTTACAGCTACTTCACAAGATAACTTAGTTCTGAAAGTTTATGTGGTAGCGAGTAGCTAGAGGTCACTACATCGTGAAAAGGGGAGCCCCGTACTTCAGTCTCTTGAGCAGGTAACACTGGAGTTGTCACCTCACCCCCCTGTGCCTTTATTTCCTCATAGGGCCAGTTTCACTGTGCACTTACTTTAAAGTCCTGGGGTTTCCCCGAGAGGGTCAGCCCCACAGAGAAAAAAAAAATCACCAGCCAGTTTCTGATGTTAGCTTGCATATGGGTAGACCAATGGAAAAGATCAAGTCACTGTATTTTGCTATAGCAACTGTGAGCAACATTAGTCATAATATTGTCTCATAATCAGTTGGGGACTTTATATAAAAATGATACCCACTTAATATCTGGCCTTGTGGTTTGGCTGTCTTAGAGACAAAGGCTTGCCCGGCACCGCCTGCTCTATCTGGCTCGTTTTCCAGGGCGCTTCCACCTCTGTGTCCGGGCTCTGGTCTAGTACAGACATGCAGCCGGCACTAAATGCCACCACCGCAAGCTTCCCTAAGCAAAGGATATTCTGGGCCCAGCCAGATGGAACTTGCTTCATTCCCCTTCCACGGACATAATAGGAATTTCTCTGGGGAGTCGCTAGCCTGCCTTTCGACTCCATTTATGGTAGGTTTGAGTCGATTCAAACCAGCTCTGCTCTCCCGTGTGCTCTCAAAGGCACTGAGATAATGAGGTCTAGTCACACTGCCCTGCTTCTCTGTCACATTCCTCTGTCCAGAAGCCTCTTT